AAAAGACAAAAAAGTGTAAAGAAGATATCATCTTCGTGAGTTTTAAAAATGTGTCAAAGTGAAATGCTGAAATATTTTTAATATTTCAAAATGGTCTTCAATTTGCATTTGAAAAATTTAAAACAAAGTATAAACTTCAAATGATTTGAAAATGTGGGCTACTAGAGATGAAAATTGGTAAGGTTTGTGTCGTATACTGTAGTTCTTGTCTCCAAATTCACATTTGAAAAAAATATGTATCTATTCCTATACCTGCTTGAGGTAACAACTTTAATCCTCATTTGTGCATTTCATACATATTATATATTAATCTTATTACAATGAGATATTTTGTAAACATATATCTCTCAAATTTAAATATTATTTTGGTCTAATAATATCTAAATTAAAAAACTTAAACATGAGATGAGACTAAGGATTAAACCAACTGCAATTTAAAATTTTAAAATAAAAATAAAAAAGACAATAACTCTAATTAAATAATAAAACATTGAAATTTAGAATTTTAATTTAAGAATTTACATTATAAAATAAAAAATTGTAATTAATTATATATAAATAAAGGTGTCAAATTTGAGGTGGGTATTATAGTATCCATTTCCGTCACCATCTTTATTGAATTTTGCGGATAAATTTTCACCAATGTCTATTCCCATATTTATGCGAATTTTACCCTCCAATTAAAGATATTTTTCTGCTAATATATATAAAGTTCGAGTATATTTTGTCATGCAATCGTCATAAGTAAATGGCTAAATTCTAAGATGGACAACTAATTTGGATTTTGTAACGTGAAACTCATTCTTTATATTGGCAAAAGCCTCGTTAAGCACTACAATATATTCATCATCTTATCAAAACTAACAGCGTACTGAGTACAATGATATAAAAATTTATACTTGAATATTTCCAACTTTTTTAGAGCAACTTTTAGTGGTTTTATCATGAGTCATGACAATATTTCTGGAGAAGCAAACCAACAACCTCTTTATATATGCAGTAGATTTAGATGCTAAATCACATCAAAATAATAAACACCAGAAAAAACAAAAATGCATAGCTAGCATGCATAGACTTCAATAAACTTTCAGAAAGCAAATCCTGGTAAAATCAAAGATATATTAGCATCAGTTGTAAGCCTCAAAACAATAAATTGTATAGAAATATAAGAAACTAAACACAAAACACCACTGAAACTTGTACCTAGTTACCCAGTGATGATGACACTTGGAAAGCATAGACCAAAACTTGTTATGTGTAAAGCCTTGTTTATATGCGATGCTAACTAAATATATTATAAAGTGTGAGACTTAATTTGGTATTTATGGAAAATTTGGTCGTTGTCCTATTAAGTCCAAACTTGGAAGTTTACTATAAGAAAGTGAAACGAGTTACATCTTAATTTGCTCACAAATTAATGAGGAGGGATTCCTCCTCTTCCTCTCTCCAACAAAATAATCAAACAATTGATAAATTGTCCTGCTTCAGCATTGATACCATTGAAACCTGCAAAAGTTAAAAGAAAAAACCTTGTAATTCTCACCTCAAAATATATATATATTATAGGTAGTTCCCTCAGAAAACTAAAAACAATACATTGATCATAACACACTTAACATAAGGCTTGTCCTTCTCAATTGGAATTTCAACGAAAGAGATTTCTCATATATGTTGGTACTTTGTGAATTCTTAGTCTCCTAACTATGACAGATGAAAGTTTCACTATAGAGAATGGTGAGTTGTTGGTGAAACACGAAGCATTCTCAGAGCAAAGGATACGCACTGTAGAAATTGAAGGTTACAATCATGTCACGAATTTCCATAACATACCTTGGCAGGTGCGTTCATTTCTCCTTTTGCCTACCAATGATACTACATAGTCTATTTGTTACTCAGAATCTATTTGGATACAAATTATAAATATCGTTAAAAGTTTCTTTATTACTTGAAAATATTATTTATTTTTTAATAGAGAAACACTTATAAAAATATACTTCTAAACTTGTATTCAAAAAGACCGTAAAAAACTATGCAAATAGCAAAATCGTCTTAGTTCATCACCGATAGCAGCTTGTAAGGTGTGTTACAGGATATTGGTTAATCTTGTTTCTCAAAAGTTGTTAGTTAGTTAATTAGTTAGGTGTTTGGCGTTAGTTAATTTCCATAAATACATGTAATCTTCTATCGTATATTTTATCTTTTTCATATTAATCTTCTATTGTATATTTTAACTTTTTCATATTAGTTAGTTACACCATTCTAGATATTGATAAATTTTAGTGTGATAGATTTTAACTTAAAAATAATTTTTTACACCAAAAAATAAAAAATATTTTCTAATTTTATATATTTTTTTATTTTTATTTTTTTAATTATTATTTAGACCCACAAATTAATTCGTTTATCTATAAATTTTGACGAATCGAATACACTTAAAAAAAAGTCTATTTATTTTGTAAATCAGATTTATTCAATCAGTATAGAAATGTAAATTTTATATGAACCAAGCTTTAAACTCGTACCGTACCCCACTCTTGTTAAATGTTGTTTAAGCCATAATTATGCAGTTTGAGAAGTCTCTCCAACCGCAATTTGCTAGAATTAGGGATGGCAAAAGGACAGGACGGGTACGGGTTTCATGATACCCGTCTCTGTTCTCGCGAGTTAAATCCATTCCCGTTTCCGTTTCTGTTTCCATACTCGTCAGGTATAAATTTTCATCTCCGTTCCCGTCCCCGTCGGGTATCGGGTATACCCGTACCTGTCAATTTTTTTTATTTTTTATTTTTTGTAAAAAAATTGATATTTTTAAATTATTTTTTTATTATATTATAATTATAATTAGGTTATTTTTTTATTTTATATTATAATAAATAATCACACATAAAAAAATCTTAAAATTTTTTAATATAATTAAATTAAAAGTGAGTATTAAATTAAAAATGAGAACGAGGACAGATACGGGTACGGGTACGGGGCGGGTAAGTATATACACATACCCGTATCCGTATCCAATTTAATATATCGGGTATTTCCCATATCTGTACCCGTACCCGGTCAAACCGGATATTCCCAGTCAAAGTCGAGACGGATTCGAGTATTACCCGCGGACACGGGTATATTTGCCATCACTTGCTAGAATCCTTCACAGTTCACAACACTCAGAAATGCTAAGTCTCTTCCTATTTGTTTGTCTCTTTGACTATTTTATTTGTATAGGAGGAAGAGAATTTGCCATGGGAAAAAATTCCAAAGAATCAACTAATGAAAAAGAGGAAAGTTGAAGGGATAATAGGTATTGTTTCTTGTGTGACTTTCCATAGCATGTGAATATTATAATTTATATAGTATATTTTCTCTAATTTTTCATTTTCTTCTATTTTTAACTCTAAATTGTAATTTTCATCTTATGTTACAATTTTTATAAAAAATTAAAAGTAATTTTCATTCTTTTTCTTATTTTAAAATATTAAATTGCAAAAAAATCATATTCGTTTTATCTTTTACTCTCATTTATTGTCATAATCTTAATTTTTATCGTAATTAGGTGTATTAATTCTCTCATAAATAATCTAAATTAGAATTCTCATCTTATTTTGGATAATTTCTTATTAAAATCTAAAGGTAATTCTTTTTTTCTTATGTCATAAAATTAAATTGTCAAGTATATATGATATTTATTCTCTTTTCTCATTAATTATTTGATTCGCGATTCTTATCTGTTGGAAATGTCATTATAAAATGATTTAAAAGTTGAAGGAGGAAAGAATATATCATTGTTTTAGCACCCATATTTCTCTACTGTATTGCAAAATCAAAGTAATATGTTAATAAATTATTTATGTTTTATATGTGAATTATGCATTTTTTAAAGTAACATATTAACATTTATCATTTGAAACTCATGGTTAAATTATAATACTTTTATTGCTTTAAGAAAAACATATTTAAATTTTTTTCTTCAAAAGATATAAAATATCTATAAAAGAAATATAATGTTGATAATTATGCTAAAAATTTTAATGTTAAATTATTATTTTAAATATTGTTTTAATGTAAAAAATAAAAAATTTAATAATTGATAGAAGAAATTATATTTAAATTAAATAATTTGATTCTATATTTAATATAATTTTTAATTAAATAAAATTGAAATTATTCATTATTTTTCTGCGCATCGCACAGTTCGATATCTAATTAGAAATTAAAGCTATATAAAATAACATTTACTCAGTGAATTGTGTAAATTAAAATAATTTGAAAATATTGGCTCAATGCTAAAATATTTACTAGTTGTAAGTAAGCAATAATAATCTTTCATTAAAAAAGAATAATAATGTTTTAACTAAAAGAATCAAAATACATGCAAAAACTTTGTAAATCTAATTAAAATACTGAGGCAATTTCCTACGATTAAACCAATGACATAATACCAGTTGCGAGGGTAAGGCTGCGTACATCTACCCTCCCCAGACCCCACTAGGTGGGAGCCTCGTGCAGTGGGCCGCCCTTTTTAGTTCACCCAACCAAAACTGAACAAAGATGTTAGAATTATTGAGGCATCTACGACTACTATATGGAAAGGAAAGGAATATAATAATTCCCTTTATTCTGGCAGTAGAACGAGAAAAATAAGTTTATTGGTAAAAAAATATAAATTTATTTTCAGAAAAGGAAACATCACTCACATACTTGATGGATTAAGTTTAATAATAAACCGTGATCTTGTAACAAAGACTTAATTAATACCCGAATTAGATTCTATGATTTTAAAGAAAAAAATGATAATGAAAGTGTTCTTGGATGGTATTTTTTGTTGAATCATGATTTTGAGTAAATAAAAAATGCACAAACGCTTGATTACCAATACAGTAAATCAATAATGCCACTGTTGTTGGTCAGTCAACATTCTTTTATGCTAAAAACAAAAACCAAAAAGTGAAAGGTTCACGCGCACTCAGAGCATTGACTTTACTTAAAAGCATAGTTCAAGCTTCAATGTTCAGATCAGATCTACTTTTTTGCTAAATAAGAGAAGAAATGGCCCTTGCTATGGTGGTGGGAGAGGCTCTTATCTCTGCTTCTGTGGAGATCTTGCTGGATAGAATTACTTCTCCAGAGTTTCGAGATTACTTTGCCAACAGAAAGTTCAATGTTTCTCTCTTGGATGAGCTGCAGATAAAGTTGTTTTCACTCAATGCTGTGCTGAATGATGCTGAGGAAAAACAGATCACTGATCTTGCAGTGAGGGCATGGCTTGATAAGCTGAAAGATGCTGTCTTAGATGCGGAGGACTTGTTGGATGAAATCAACACAGATTCTTTGAGGTGCAAGGTGGAGGGAGAATCTAAAACCTTCACTACCCAGGTCAGATCATTCCTTTCTTCTCCCTTTAATCAATTTTATCGGAGCATCAATTCCAATCTTGAAGCAATATCTACAAGGCTAGAACATTTTGTGAAACATAAAGATATTCTTGGTTTGCAAAGTGTTTCTAGGAGAGTATCTTCCAGAACAGTTACAGATTCATTGGTTGAATCAGTTGTTGTTGCAAGGGAGGATGACAAAGAGAAGCTACTGAGAATGCTTCTATCTGATGAAGATGGGAAGAACAATCATATAGAAGTGCTGACAATATTGGGCATGGGTGGTCTTGGAAAAACAACCCTAGCTCAATGTCTTTATAATGATAATGCAGTGCAGAAACATTTTGATTTGACAACTTGGGCATGGGTATCTGATGATTTTGATGTGTTTAGAGTTACGAAGACTATTGTTGAATCTGTCACTTCTAAAAAGTTTGATAATACTAATTTAGATGCACTTCGGGTTGAATTGAAGAACAACTTAACTGATAAAAAATTCTTGCTTGTGCTGGATGACCTTTGGAATGAAAAATACAATGACTGGAATCATTTAATAGCACCTTTTACCAGTGGAAAGAAGGGAAGTAAGATCATTGTGACAACCCGACAACATAGAGTTGCACAAATAACACACACATTTCCCATATGTGAGCTGAATCGTCTAACAGATGAAAATTGTTGGTGCATACTTGCAAAACATGCATTTGGAAATGAAGGATTCAACAAATATCCAATGCTAGAAGAAATTGGTAGAAGAATTGCAAGAAAATGCGATGGCCTACCACTAGCAGCTAAAACATTGGGAGGTCTTTTGAGATCAGTTGTTGATGTAGAGGAATGGAATAGAATTCTGAACAGCAACTTATGGGCACATGACGATGTTACACCTGCTTTACGCATAAGTTATCTTCATCTTCCGGCACATTTGAAAAGATGTTTTGCTTATTGCTCAATTTTTCCCAAACAACATTTGTTGGATAGGAAGGAATTGATTTTGTTATGGATGGCTGAAGGCTTTCTTCAACAAATCCATGGAGAGAAATCATTGGAATCAGTAGGTGATGAATGCTTTAATGAATTATTATCAAGATCTTTAATTGAAAAAGACAAAGCTAAAGTAGAGGAAAAGTTTCGAATGCATGATCTCATCTATGATTTAGCTAGACTAGTATCGGGAAAAAGTTCTTACAACTTTGATGGTAATGAAATTCCAAGAACTGCTCGTCATTTAGCATTTCCTGTGAAAATATTTGATGTCTCTAAAAGATTTGAGGGCTTGTATGATCTAAAGTTTGTGCGCACTTTTCTACCACAGTCCCCTTATCCATTTGGTGATTTTTACTTAACCAAAAGGGTGTCACATGGTTGGTTGCCAAAACTAAGATGTTTGCGAACACTATCATTGTCAGAATACAAAAATATCACTGAGTTGCCTGATTCGATTGGAAATTTGGTGCTTTTACGGTATCTTGACCTTTCCTCTACTCCCATCAAAAAATTGCCCGATGCAACCTTTACACTTTACAATTTGCAAACTCTGAAATTAGCAAATTGTAAATTTCTTATCCAGCTTCCAAGACAGATAGAAAATTTGATCAATCTACGTCACCTAGATATTAGGGACACAAATTTGAATGAGTTACTAACACAAATATGCAAACTACAGGATCTTCGTACATTGACTTCCTTTGTTGTAGGAAGAAAAGATGGATTAAGCATCAAAGAATTACGAAAATTTATTTTTCTACAAGTTAACCTTTCCATTTTGAAGCTACAAAATGTTGTTGATCCCATGGATGCATTTCAAGCCAACATGAAGAAAAAAAAGCAGATTGAGGAGCTTACGCTGGAGTGGGGAAGAGATCCACAAGATTCACAAATTGAGAAAGATGTACTTGAGAACCTGCAACCATCAACAAATCTAAAGAAACTCACCATCAGATACTATAGTGGCACAAGCTTTCCGAAATGGTTAAGTGAGTCTTCGTATTCTAATGTTATAGTCCTTCGTATCAGTAACTGCAACTATTGCTTGTCACTTCCACCATTTGGACAATTACCTTCTCTTAAGGAGCTTGTGATTCAAAGGATGAAAATGGTGAAGACAGTTGATGAAGAATTCTATAGCAACAATGAAAGATCCTCTTTATTTCAGCCATTTCCAATGTTGGAGAGTCTCCGGTTTGAAAAGATGTTAGAATGGGAGGAGTGGCTACCATTTAAAGGTGAAAATAGCGAATTTTGTTTTCCTTTGCTGAAGCATTTGAGTTTATCCCAATGTCCGAAGTTGAGAGGAAACTTGCCCAACCATCTGCCTTCATTAAAAGAGGTTAGTATCTCAAAATGCAACCAATTAGAGGCAAAATCATGTGATCTACACTGGAACACATCAATTGAATCTTTATCAATTAGTGAAGGGGGAAAAGGCTTGTTGTCTCTTCTTGACGAATTTTCGTATGAGAAGCTAAATATTTTCAAATGGGATAGCTTGTCGTGTTTGCCAAGAATGATACTAGGTGCCAATTGTCTTCAAAGGCTGACTCTTAACAATATCCCCTCTTTGATTTCCTTCCCAAATGATGGTTTGCCCACGTCATTGAAATCACTTGAGATTAGATATTGTGAGAACTTAGAATTTTTATCTCATGAAACGTGGCACAAATACACATCACTTGAATCTCTGAGAATTTCACATAGTTGTCATTCTCTTACGTTCATTACATTAGATTGTTTCCCTGCTCTTGAAACTCTATGTATCTACTCGTGTCCCAACTTGGAAGCAATTACTACTCAAGGTGGAGGGCCTGCTCCCAAATTAATAAATTTTTGGGTCCATGATTGTGAGAAACTTAGGTCACTTCCAGAACTGATTGATCTCCCTTCCCTTAAATACTTAAGTCTCTCTAAGCTTGCAGTGGTAGCATCATTGGGTGCAAGGTGTTTGCCTTCAAGTTTACAATCACTGACGGTTGGTGTTGGAATGTTATCATGTATGTCTAAAGATGAGCTAGGTTTCCTATTCCAACGCCCCACTTCTCTGTCTGAGCTTTGTATTAAGGGTGGTGGGGAGGCAGATGTTGTTAACATCATGCTGAAGGAGCCGTTACTGCCCACTTCTCTTCAAGGGCTGTACCTTGAGAGTCTTGATGGTTTGGAGTGTTTGGGAATGGAAGGAAAAGCGCTTCAACATCTCACATCTCTCCAGTCTCTCACCCTATGGGGTTTAGATGAATTGAAGTCGTGGGAAGGGAATGGGCTTCAACATCTCACTTCTCTCCGAATGCTTCGGATTGATGGTTGTGGAAGCCTTGAGTCTTTGCCAGAAGATCACTTGCCATCCTCTCTTGAATTATTGGAGATATACAGATGTCCTTTACTAGAAGAAAGGTATCAAAATCAGAAAGGGAAATATTGGTCTAAGATTGCCCACATTCCTGCCATCGAGATAAAGGATGAAGTGATAATATGAGTGGTTGGATGACTAGGAATCATCGAAAAGGTAAAGCCTTAAATTATTTCCACAAAGTAATATGTTTGGATGGTGAATTTTATAAATTCAAAAATTTTTAAATTTTTAGTATTTAAATTATTTTGGTTTTAATTTTTATTATTTTTAAAATATTTTATTTAGATGAGTCAATTCAAATTTTTAAATTTTAAATTGTAAGGTTGAATATGATAATTTTATTCCATCATAGTAAAATTAATTTTAAAAATATATTTATATGTTGAGATTTTTAAATTAAATTTTATAAAAATAAATATTAATCTATTTTTAAATATAATAATTTTAAAAATTAATATTAGATAATATTTAATAATTCTAAAAATTAATATTAGATAATTTGTAATAATTTTAAAAATATTTTTGAATATTCAATAATTAAAAAAATGAAGAGATAAGATAAAATATATAGGTGAAATAAAAAAAATAAATATAAAGAATTTTAAATTCTCTCATTTTTGGGAGAATTTGAAATTTTACTATTTTAAGGAATTTCACAAATGCTTAGATTTAAATTTTTTTATAAATTACTCATCTAAACAAAATATTTCACCTCAAAAAATTTGAAATTCTTTAAATAAATGAATTACCTTATATAACTTCCACATTCAAACACATCATTAAATTATTTCCAGAAAGTATGATGTCAATTTAATATCTCACGACTCTAACGCTTGACTGCTTAAATTATTATCTACCAATAAACTATTTATTTCAAGCCATTTTTTTGGTGTAATTGTGGTACATCGGATTTTGGTGTTTCATTATGCTTAAAATTAAACTAAATCAAAATGGATTTATCAGAATGAATGGTAATTCATGCTATTAACTGAAAACCTATTTATTAAATTTAGTAAATTGGTAAGAGTTGTCCACAAGTTGGATAAAATGTCATTTTTAATAATTAGTTTAATATGTTTTTATTTTCTCTCTAAATAAGGTCATGTTCACTTTTAGTTCCTCTAAAAATAGAATCTCATTTTAATCTTTTTATTTATGAAAATGTATTTTGTATTGTATGATTCTTAATTTTAAAAACGAGAAAGCAAAAGAATATGACTTTTGTGAATAATAGGAACTGCAACTCACATTTTTATAAAACGAGGAATCAAAATGAGATGGTTTATTTTGAAGAGACTGAAAATGAATACTTCTATATTTATAACATATTTAATTCTTTTTTCAAAGTTTGGAACTTGAAACATGCTTAAGTAGATAAATCTTTAATTTAATTAAATTTTCACGTTTTGCTTGTCTCAAGAGACAGTAATATGATTTATTGATTTAGATTGTTTGTAAAGTGGAGTATAAGAACAATTATATATTTAGTTTAAATTTGATTCCGTTTAATTATGTTTGATTAATTAGACTTTTTCTGGGTATGGTTAAATCACATAGTGAGAGATGTAAGTCTGAGGTAATATAAAGTCAATTTGATGAATAAGGGAAAAAAAAAAGAAAGAGAGAAAAAAAGAAAGTTTTTAAAAATTTACAAACTTAATTTATATATTAAAATTTTAATTTTAACAATTAGATCATTAAAATTTAATATAAAACATGAGTTAATGAACAAAATAAGCCTATATAGACTTGTTCTTGAAATAAACTAATCCCTTTATATAATGTGGACTAAGCTTAAATAACTAAATTAGATTTGGAGAAAGATACCATGAATATAAAGCTTATTAATTCAAGATATAGCTTATTGTTTGACATAATTTCGTTTTTGGTGGAAGAAGTGAGATGTTTCCTTAAATACGAAATAGCGATTGATGAGATTTACAGTGTTACGCTTTCACTTATCCTACAAACACAGAACAGATAAGAATGGAATCAAAACTTCACCATTGATACGATTCAATATCAATTGGGCCATTCATTATTAGCATAATAACCTTATAATTAAGACAAGACTGAAAACACCGTTTACAAGACAGTGATCGCTTTCCTTTCGAATCAATCAAGGGAAAACAGCTACATCCCAAATATTTCATTATTTCATAGTAACAACTTGCAAAGAGAAGCATATCAATTGAATAAATTTTTCCTGGCTGACGCAAAGATGACACAGCATGGAAATTTTTGCACATTGGTCCTCTTGCCTTCATTGCAATATTTTGTTGGCAATGGGAAACGTCGGAGTTACATCAACAGGTACCTAGGGTACACAATACAACATACACAGAATTAGTTTTTGTAATATTTTTAATATTAGTTTGTATGACAGAAAAATGTCTTGGAAGATTCAGAATTGGGAAATTCATCCTAAGGGGTGTGAAGAATTGGGACTGCTCAAAAAAGTTCACAATGGAACTCATTATTATCTAGTGACTTGCAAAAGAGAGTATGTAAAGTGTAATTATGACTGCTTAAAGAAACATCTCTCACTTTTTAAAGCAGTAACATTGATTAATTTTTTAAGGAGACATGTACAACATGTACAGAAAATTGACAATTTTTTTAAAGAGTCGTTGATAAAAATACTTATGAGGTTGTAATGATAGGATATCAAGATCATGTGGCATGTGTTTGTAATTTAATTTTCGAATGCTTCCAGTTCTTCCTTTTCCTATATACATCTAGTCAAGATAGACACACACCAAGCTCAATAAAGCTTAACGTGAGAAGGTGTATTGGAAAAAATCCAAGTCCTCCCTATCCTAGTTAAAAAGGGTCAAGTCCAATAATATTGAATATGAAAAAGTGTATTAGAAAAAATCTAAATCTTACATCAACTAGAAATAAGACTCTAATAACGAGTATATAAGTTGGAGACAACCCTCACCTCAAACTAAATTTGTAGAGTTGAACTAGGCTCAAATCCACTTTCTTAAGAGCATGTAAATTCAAACTTGACGATGCATAACACATAAACAAGCTATCATATGGTGGATGAAAACATGTATGGATGACTTACACGACAGCAAGATATTTGATGCACAGTGGGAGGCTAAAATGTTACTAATAATTCAATATGGTTATTTAAAGACAAAAAAGTGTAAAGAAAGATATCAGATTCTTGAGTTTAAAAAATATGTCAAAGTGAAATGGTAAAATATTTTTAATAATTCAAAATGGTCTTCAATTGACATTCAAAAAATTAAAAACAAGGTATAAACTTAAAATGTTTTGAAAACGTGGGTCATAAGTAAATGCTTACTTAGACAACTAATTGGGATTTTGCAGCGTGAAACTCATTCTTTATGTTGGTAAAACCTCATTAGGCACTACAATATACTCATCATCTTATCAAAACTAAGAGAGTACTGTGATCTAGATATTTATACCTGAATATTTTCCAACTTTTTGAGAGCAACTTTCAGTGGTTCTGTCATTACACAGTATTTCGATGAAGTCGATTACTATCTCTTCTATAATTTAAAACTTGTCATTGAATAATGTAGTGTTGAGCTGATTTTATTAATAATATTGATCTTTAAATTTTGATGAGATGACAATATTTTTTTTCTTAATGAATACAGTTGGTAGCTGAGGTGGCAAGCTAGTAATATTTGTTGATTGTGAAGGTTCGAGCTTGTTCTATTGGTTGCATTCTTGTATCTAGTTCAATCTCATTGTCACGTTGGTTGTCTTTCAATCATCTTAATCAAATTCTACAAATTCCCTCATTAACATTTGTAATTGGTCAAACTAAATTTGTGGTTTGTTGATGTTAATGTACTGTTAGTTGGTTTTCTTTCACTGAACTATCTTTCTAAAACTTCAATATATTGGATTAGGATTGTGATATTGGTGTTGAATCATCCAAGTTTATTCAAATTAGAAATTGAAATTTGTGTTGAATCATTTGATAATGGTTTGTTAGCAGTGTATTCTTGTAATAAAATATTGGTATGTAAACTTTATTCTATTGCTCCAAGTTGAATATTTATAATTTACGATAGATATGTTCTTTTGATTATAACACTAAGTTGGAAGTGATAGATTGAAGCTATCATATTTGCTACTTTCTGGTTTACGATCTCGTTGAATCTATAGTCTTGAGTTCACTTGTGCTACATGATCGAATATCTTGAATGAGAATTAAATATGTTATTAGTTCTTAATTTTTTTTTAATTTTAATCTTTTTAAATAATTTTTTAATAATTTTTTTTTTAATTTTTTTTTTTATCAAAGTCTTTGGACATTTTTACTCTCAGTAACATTTTGATTCTTTAAGTCTAAAACTTTTGTATTACATGGTTGAATATATTGTTTTGATAAGGAGGTGTAATTCCTCCTTACCAAATTCGACAGTTTAGGAATAAATTGAAACTTTTAGTTGCGATTTCATGTAAGTACAAAATTGAACTCCAACTCTGATATTTTGAAGTTTTAATATTAAGCTTTATTGATAATTTAAAAATATTTAATAATTTAAAAATAATTTTAATTATTTAATAATTAAAAATATTTATTGATATCTTTTACATATTGATAAAGTAGAGAAAGAGTTAGGAAAAATAAGAGAGATGTGGGATGACATAAAGACGTGAAAGAAAGTGTATAGAGAGAAAAAGTAAAGAGGGATGGATGGTAGAGAGATAAGAGAAGGAATAAATAGAAATTGAGATGGGAAAAGAAAAAGAAATGTGAGATGTCATGAACTAGGCGTGGCTTGATTTAAATCTTTTTTAACATTGATTAATTTTGTTGTCAATAGTAGATCACTTAAATTTCTAAATCACCATTAATTTTATTTTCCATAATTTTTTTAATTTAAAATAGTTAAATTATTTTAAGATTAAATTAAGTCTTACAATAAAACTAATTTAATTTTACACTCCTATTATTCATCCCAAACCAAGGCGGATATGTATCTTTTGAAAGTGATTATGCAGTGCAAAATCATTGAGGGCACTTAAAATTTACAACAATATTGAAGAGTTATGATGATTTCTATCACATTTCATTTATGTTAGGAAGGAAATGAACTGTTGACCTGAAATTTATTCTTCAACTTTGTAACTTGTCGTGTGATACTTTTTATGTGATTTTGGATTGAAATTTGACTGCACAGGAATTTGTTTTGTAAGCAATGAATGGATCAAGAAAGCATGTTGAAAGAATGAAAATGAGAAATTCCGTGGAAAAAATGTTAATTTTCTTGTAGTTTAAATAAAATATTTATCCTTAATCTCCATTGAACTTTTCTTTTTCTCAAAACATGTTTTCTTGATCCACTCATTGTGTACTTGTTCTCCACATCGAAAAAGAAGAAAAAACACAAAAAAAAGGGTGAAAATAGATCACGTATTCAAATAATTAACTATTTTTAAAATAAAAAAGTGATTTTTTATGTCATATAAAATTAATGGTGATTAGAAAGCTAACGTGACTATTTTTAACAATGTCAAAAAAGAATTCAAAATAAGTATTATGCAAATTTAGAGGATTAAAAGTAAGAAATGCTTTTTTAAGGACTAAAAATAAATTGCGGTTTTTAGAATTTTTAACAAGGTAGATGATGGAATTAAGACTTGGTGTACTAATTAGAGTTGTATAAAATCTTCTTATCTTTCATATGAGATAAGGATGAGTATGATAGGAGTAGTATAACTCCTGATACGCTATTTTATGTGAAGCGATCCTATTCCAACCACTCTAGTTGTTGTGGTACCTCCAGCGCTTGAGCTAGATCCCTAGGAGGCAATCCCTACTCATACTAGAGAGCCAACACCAGAATAGGAAGTATATCCTAAGCACAAGTTTGTCCTTGCTGAATCTTTGATTCATGGATCGTGAGTTCTTAGTAATGGATACCACGATGGATCTAACCCATCTTCTCTTTCTTCAAGTACTCAGAGTTCCATCACGTTAGAGATGTCTAGAGATGACACCATAGAGGATTAGACATGGAGAAATGACACCTTTTTGCATAGGTATGGGGTATTGACAATTAGTTTAGACTAGCCTTTTTGCTATGTATATATGATTGGGTAGATAGGACAGGTTTCCATTCTTCCTCTCATTCAAGATAATGAAATTATTCCTAGAAACCAGACCTAATACTCTTAAGAACTACAGCATTGGAAAATACATCAATCACCAAGGGGCATTTTTTAGTTTTAGTTATAGCCCAAAGAAAGAATTGGTAATTTAATAAACATAATAGTTTGATTATGCTTTTTAGTTGTGGGAAGAGTAATTCATGATCTCATTTATATACATCAAGTGAATGTGCTTACAAATTAAAAATATGATAGTTTAGCGATCATCAAGAATCCTAAGTCTAATTTTTTAGGAAGTCAATATAGTAGACATCTAATCATAAGACATGACCAAAGTACTTTTCACTTGATACCATACATTAAAAGGTATTGAAATACTACTTAAGTTATATGTGACAATTGAGTTAGTCATATCATGCTTCAACAACAACAAATAATTTAGTAGAAGTTTTAATAACATAATTGTTCATTGTTGAAGGAAAAAGCTCTTGATAAATAATTTTCATAGAACATCTTGGGAAAAATTTTATGTTATTTGTTCCACTAACTAAAGGTTTAACATCTAAGGTTTTTATGGACATGTTTCTCATATAAGTATTGTCCCTAAGGTTGCCTTAGTTTAGTGGGAATCTTTATGTTCTATGCTTTGATACAAACATTATGTTATATTTGGTTTTATGTAGAAATATGGAATTATAAGTTTATTAGTAATTATTTGTTTGTATAATGTGTGTGCAAAATTATTTTGCAATAGGAATTTTGGAATGGTATCTCTAATGACTGAAATATGACATTGAATGATTGAGATCACATAGCATGTAATTTTCATGTTGCTTTTCCATATTGATTTATATCATTTAATGTATTAATGTGGTGGTCATTAGGTCTAATCACATTTTATGCTAGTAATGGAAGTTGTTTGCTGAGTTGCATCAATTGTCCCATGGCGGAGTCCTGAGTGGGTCAAGTCACAGTTGAAATACATGGTGTTTGGGCTACTACAATTAAGTTGAAAGAGTTGTACCCTAACTATCAACTATAGCTTTTAATCTAGTGGTAAGTACTCAATCCAATAATTGGTATCAAAGCCAAGGTCCCGTGTTTGATTCCCAATGGGAGCAATTGCTGAAGGGGAGATTGTTTATTGGGTTGTATCAATTGTCCCATGGCGTAGGTCTAAGTGGGTTAAGACACAGTCAAGACATGTGGCGCTTGGGATGCTACAATTAAGTAGAAAGAGTTGCGTCTTAAATTATAGCTTTTGACTTAGTGGTAAGTGTAAGACCCATGAACCTCCTTCACTCTCATTTTCTCTCAAACCTCTAAACCTTTATTATTGTTTTCTTTTCCTCAAGGATGAGGTGGTGAGTACTAGGGCTATGAAGCAAGGTTCACCATCCATCCTTCTTCTTCTTCAACCCAGGAGTCGTGGGACACTTCTTCTCCCTTCTCTTTAGCCTGGAGTTGGATTGTCGTTCCATTTTCTTCTTCTTCTTCTTCTTCAACCTTGGATTAACTCGGAGTTTGTCGTTCACTCCGTTTCGAGGTAATGGAAGCTAGAACTCAAATTATTATTGTATTTTGGGTTGCATGTAGTTGGATTATCAATTGGGATGTGATTTGGGGCTGAGTAGTTGAGTTGGGAAGGTTGCATGTTGTTGGGATGTGGGGTTCTTGGATGAGTTGGGGAAAATGAGTGATTCATTGAGTTTAATGCATGCATGTTGAAATTTGTATGGTTTTTGGGTTTCTTGAATGAATTAGTAGTAATCATGGACATCGATCATGTTTAGAGGGAAGATTGGTGAAGAGAAGGTGAAGATTGAAGGTGGAAGCCATGGAAATGCAGAAAATTTTGCACCCACCGCTTAAGCCATGACTCATGGCTTCAACCATGGGGTAAAAAAGGGGATGGCAGAGATCCACATCTATAGCCATGGTTCATGGCCGCAACCATGGAAAAGAGGGGATGGTAGAGATCCACTATTGTAGCCGTGGGAACAAAATTGAGTTGGCAGAAATCCAGCGCTAGAGTGTTGATTTGAGCGCTGAAGCGGTAAGAGTAGATGACCGAATTTGGTCTTGCGGTCTTCATAAAATTTGTAGCCTTGGATATTAGCTTTCGAATGGCGCTGGAATCACCCAAAAAGGAGGTATAGAACTCCAGATATAGATGTTTTAGTGAACATGGTCAAGCTATCAACATTGGTTATAGATGTTGCGGTTTTTAGAATTTTTAACAAGGTAGATGATGGAATTAAGACTTGGTGTACTAATTAGAGTTGTATAAAATCTTCTTATCTTTCATATGAGATAAGGATGAGTATGATAGGAGTAGTATAACTCCTGATACGCTATTTTATGTGAAGGTTGCCATTTCACAAGGAGTGATTTGGTTAAGTTGAAAGTTGTTTTAGGTGCTTAGGTTGATTTAGGTTGTTTATGTCTGTAAGTTGGCATGATAAATTAGTTGTAAATATGTAGTATGAGTTGTATTATGTGATGAAAATGTTGTATGATGATATAAAATGATAAAATATTGATTAATGATGTTGTTAATGATGCTTTTATGCCAGCAGCCTCTTTATCACCTTTGGCTTGAATGGTGAGTATTTCCCTACTCAGGCTTTCAACTGCTCCTTCAATCTTAAGGAAGAAAATTTTATTTATTATCACCCATCTAAGTTTCAAACAAACTTAAGATGGAGGGACTGAGATAGAAACAAATATTTCGAAGCAATAATACCTTGGTAAAATCAACAGAAATTGTGCCTTCAGAATGCCAGACAAAGGCACCTTTCTCATATAACCAGTTGAACTGCAATGCTTGTCCTTTTCTGACAATATGCGGTAGATTTAAATGCTAAATCACATCACAATAATAAAAACCAAAAAAAAAACAAGAATGCATAGTTAACAGCGCACCCATGAGCTTCCTTTAAACCAAAGCGTACAGACCGGAAGCATCCAGCAAGAAACGAAACATACATGGACTTCAATAAACATTCAGAAAGCAAATCCTGGTAGAAAACAATAAATTGTGTAGAAAATATCAGAAGCCAAACAATAAATTAGCATCAGTTGTAAACCTCAAAACAATAAATTGTGTAGAAAATATCAGAAGCCAAACACAAAACACCACTGAAACTACTTGTTGACTGGGTGTCAAAAGAGGATTAAATCTTTATCTGATTCCCTAAAATATTTCAGTTAATATGTTTGATTTGTTTCCTTGTATAGCTAGTAATTACTTTATTTTCTATAATTACTTTTTACCTTTTCTAGTTTAGCTTATTTTAGGTAATTAATTCATTAGTCATATTTTCTTTCCTTATTATAGGATTTAGTTTCCTTATTTCATTTGATGTAATTCCCCTTAATAAAAGGGAGGAAACCCTACACAGAAAATTATCAATAATATTTCATATTTTAAACTTGGTATCAGAGCACAATCTTTGCACCTCGGATGTGCAGCCAGGGCTGACAGTTCCTCAGCCATCAGCAGCGATCAAAATTCACAGCCTCAAAAATAGGAGCAAAGGGTCTTTTAGGCGATTCTCATTCTGTTCAAATCACCTCTTTTCAACTTAATGGATCAAACTATCTTCAGGGGTTCCATTCCGTTCAAATGTATAGTGGTGGCAGAGGAAAGCTTGGATACCGGTGACGAGCCAAGCCCAATGCTAACGATCCACAACACGTTGTGTGGGATCATATGGTTGGTGAACTCCATTGAGGAGAACAGCAGCAACAATTATGTGTTATTCCAGAGTCAGAGAATTGTGGGATAGTGTCACTGAAATGTATTCAGATCTTGGAAATAAATCTCAGATTTAAGACCTCACCTTACAAGCTAGAAAAATTCGGCAGGGAGGTGACAATGTCACAAGATACTTCCACTCCTTGAAGATGGTGTGGCAGGACCTTGATCTCTTCAACACTTACAAGTGGAAGTCAGCCAAGGAGGCCAAACACCATCAGCAAACAGTGGAAGAAGGAAGAAGTATTCAACAAAGAGAAAGAGAGAGAAAGCTTGTAAAAGAAGCTGATATAATCTGAATGTACAATACTTGATAACAAGAATTTATAGAAAAGATTACATAGTTCAGATATAACTGTACTCTAACAGAATTAAAACAGAAAAGAGAAAAGATACAATGCATTAGGTTCTATAGTAAGAACCTGCACCTATGCTACTTACAACCGAAAAGGAGTTATATACAACATAGACTAAGTATTCTAACATTCCTCCCTCAAGCTGTAGGTGGCTGAGCAGGATTGTAGGTCACCTGCAGCTTGGCTCGAAGGTATCGAAATCGGGTAGGAGAAAAAGCTTTAGTGAGAATGTCAGCACATTGTTCATCTCAGGGTGTAGAACTTTGAGACTGTTGTTGATTACTCATTCTCTAAGAAAAGAAAATATCAAATTCCACATGTTTAGTTCTTGCATGTAGGATAGGATTATGAGACAAAGCTACTGTGCTCAAGTTATCACAGTATATGATAGGAGACCTAGTTTTAATATGTAATTCCTATAGTAGAGATTGTATCCATAATGTCATAATGTTTCAGCAGTTGTGGCTGCTAAACTCCTGTATTCAGCTTCTATAGTGAATCTTGCAACTATATTTTGTTTCTTGGACCACCAAAATATGAGGTTCAAGAAAATGCACAACCTGGATGTAGACCTTCTATCATCAGGATCTAATGCCTAATCAGCATTAAAAAATGCGGTCATTTCAAGATGACTTAAGGAAGGTATTGGTTGAATAATAAGGCCAAGATTAGGCACACCTTCTAGATATCTGATGGCAAACCTAGGTAGAGAAGATTGATGTTCTTTACCTCTAGCTTGCTCCGGCCACTTGATCTTCTCCTTGAAGGTTGCTGGACACAATTTCCAGCTTGGATGAAGGTTTGAATACGAAAGAATTTAGAAGGAAGGAAGCACCCAAGCAAGGTGAGTAAGTGATTACTCACAAAGGTGCCTAAACCTAGAGAAACTCCAAGAACCTAGACTAGGTGGAGAGACTTTGGAGGAGAGAAAATCCTGAATCAATTTTCAGAACTCTCAATTATGCATCAAAGTGAATACAAGATGGATAAGGAAGCCAATATATAGGTGCGGATGGGCTTGCTATTGGCGTCAATATTTGAATTTCAAATGGAATTTGAAATTCAAATTTTGATGATCCATGTGCTAGTCCATGAGTTAAGGCTTCTAGCTTCATCTAGGTTTCATTTAAGGATCATTTGGAGTGAATTTGGTGCGCACATGTTCAGCCCCTCCATGCTTAAACCATGTGACCCAAATTCACGCCAAATGACTTCTAAATGAAACTTGGATTAAGCCTAATGAAGCTATTATTGTTTTCCTTCCATAATCCTATTCTAATGGCCTAAATCAATGGTCAAGTAAATACAAACAATAGGAAAAATTACAAGAATTAAAATGAGCCCCATATTGGGCACAAAGAAGGGTCACATTTACTAGTTGTGAACCCTTTTTGAAGGAGAGTGGATTTGAGCTTCTCAAACCAAGCTTGTGGTGCTTGTTTCAAGCCATAGAGAGCTTTCTGTAATTTGCAGACTAGAGTTCTGACAGCAGCTTCAAACCCTTGCGGTTGTTGCATGTAAACCTCTTCATGAAGTTGACCATTTAAGAAAGCATTTTTTATGTCAAGTTGTTGAATGGACCAATTACAAGTCAATGGCAATGTCAGAATTATTCTTACTGTTACAGGTTTGATAACAGGAGAAAATGTTTCTATAGTCACATCCAAGCTGTTGGTGAAACCCCTTGGCCACCAACCTTGCGTATATCTGTTAACTATACCATCCAGATTTTCCTTGATTCTAAAGACCCATTTACACCCAATAACTTCTCTATTTGAGGGTAGAGGAACCAAGGTCCAAGTGTGGTTTTTAATTAAGGCATTATTATATTATGTTTTAGTAGCAGATTGCCAATTTGGACTTTTAAGAGCTTCTTTAACATTCTTAGGTTCAACTTGAGACACTAGAGCAGAAGGAATATTTCTAGCAGTATTAGTTTTAGAATGAGTGACAGTTGGATGAGTGTTTTTGTTTATGGGAGGTTGAAGAGGAATATTTGTTGCATTTAAAACAAAATGAGATTGATTGACAGATTGGCTAGGAGAGTAATTGGAGTGTTGAGACAATGGAGTGGAAGGATTAGAATTTGCTAATGGTGTACATGGAGAAGGCAAGATAATAATAGGAGGAACCGAAATGGGAGACTGTGATAAATGTGTTTGGGCGGGAAACAACACAAGATAAGGAAATCTAATCTCATTGAAGATGACATCCTTTGAAATTAATACTTTTCCCAAAAAGTTAAGCATTTATATCCTTTGTGAGATGATGCATATCCAAGAAACATGCATTATTGAGATCTATATTCCATTTTATAATAGTTGTATGGCCTCATCAAGGGAAAACAAGCACAACCAAATATTTTGAGGAAATTATAATCTAGGTTGCTATTAAACAAATTGACATGTGGTATGTCAAAGTTTAGAGAGGCAATAGGTAAAATATTAGTGAGATAAGTTGTGGTGGAAAAGCATGATCCCAACATTTAAGGAGGGAAGCATGAGCAAGGAGAAGTCCTAGTTCCACAATGTGCCTATGTTTTCTCTCTATAGCCCCATTTTGGTGGTGTGTATGAGGGCATGTAATTTTGTGTAAAATACCAATGTTAAAGCATATTAGAAAAGGGTCTAAACTCTCCTCCCTAGTCAGTTTGTAGGGCCTCAGCACTGGCTTTAAATTGCAAAAACATTTTTAGTGCTTTAGATTTGGTTTTGAGAGGGAACAACCAAGTGCCTTGAAAATGCATCTACAAAAGTTATATGGTAATTATAACTACCAAATGATATAAATGGGGCAGGTCCCCAAAGATCTAACTACAAAGGAGTATATTCGGTTAAAGAGATCATTAAGTCAAAAGACGATAGTAGATCCCTCAAGTTTTAATAATAACAAATAAAAGATTTTTTTTTAAACAAAGTCAAATATCTACAGAGATATACTATATCAAACAATATATATTATTAAGTCAAAAGATGATCGTGGATCTCTCAAGTTTTAATAATAACAAAAAAAATATTTTCTTTTTAGGCAAAGTTAAATTTCTACAAGGATATACTATATCAGACGAAATGTGAAAAATATATATCATCTATAAGATGAAGAAAATCAAATGAAACATACAATCTGTCTCATTGCATTAAACATATATTTTCAAATGAGACTAACATTGAATTTCATTAAATGTGTTATTCCTTGACAGATTGAACAAGAAAGAAGCCTTAAACCTCTCGAAATATGTTAAAGAAGGAAAAGACAATTGTTCGTCAAAAGTAAAAAGGTAAAATCCCAGATATCATGTATAAAGCATAAAAAGGCTCTACAAAAGACTAATCTGGGCTGACATCAACTACTCTATGTGTGTAAACATAACTTCTGTCGTGCTCATTTTAGAAGGAAATGATAAGTAGTCTGATAGATTAGATAAGAGATACATGTTTTGCTGAAAGGCATATTATAAGTTCAACTCAAAGTTGTTATAATGGTTATCTTCTTTGAAGCTATTATAAAAGAATCAAGTCTTCAAACAACAAGTGGAAGAGAACGACACACATAGAACATAAGCGATCAAAGAAATATATATCAAGAAATTTGTATAGAGAAACATACAAAAATATACAAAGCTGAAAAAACTACAGAGAATTATTCTATTATAAATTTTGTACATATTTCTTTATAGATTACTTGTGCTTTCATTGTTGATTACATCACGTCTAGAAGATATGAAACAATTATGTAAACATTTACTACCTTGTTGTAAGGGTGGAGCCTGGAAAGATGATATTGTAGACTAGTTGGAAAGATGAATTATCTCACCATGATTAGACTTAACATATCCTTTGCATTCAGCGTTGTGAGTCAATTTCTCAATCCATACAAAAGTCATTGGGATGTTGTGCTTCGAATTTTGATATACATAAAAGGATCTCCCAAAACAGTTAGTTTATGAGAACATAACACACTGATATTGTAGCATATACAAATTTGAGTTGGGTTGGTTTTAGAGTGATCATCTATCCAACCCATTTTTCTCATCATGTAAAGGAGAAATTCCCACCTCACTGAATCATAGGCTTTTTCAAAGTCCACTTTTAAAATAAAAGATGGCTTCTTTCTCTTCTTCAAATCATCCACTAATTCATTGGCTATTACCACTCCGTCAAAAATGTTCCTATCCACCAAAATTGCCGATTGCCCTTCACCAATAACTTCATGATGAATTCTTCTCACTCTCTTTGATAGCAATTTTGCTATTATTTTGTAAATACAACCGATGAAAGAAATGGGTTTAAAATCTTATAGGCCTTGAGGGTTGTTTTTTTTTTTTGGTATAAGGGTAATGAAAAAAGCATTTGTGCCTCTTGGAAGTTTCCCATTTGCTAGGAAATCTTGCAAGGTCTTACAAATATCTCTCCTTTAAGGGTTTCCCAAAAGCCTAATAAGGTTGGAATTATACTTATCCAGACCGGGGGTTTATCATCCCCTCAATCTCACACCACTTCCTTGATTTCCACTTTTGAAAAAAGGTGCAATTAACAAGTTATTATCATTTATCAATAGCATCAAGCCTCTCAAAGTACACCCCTTCCAAATCAACCTTCACCCCACCAACCTCTTGAATCTCTCACGGAAAAAAGTCTTCACTTCTTTCACAAGTTTTGGATCATCAATCCATCTACCATCCTTCAATACACCTTGAAAAGAATTAGATCTTCTCCACTTGATGGTAGAATGAAAATATCTTTATCTAGTAGTGTGTAGATGATGTTATTATAGAGATGGCCTCAAGGGTATCCGAGACCTTAAAGGTCGTTTGTTTAAGCATTTTCAAACTAAAGATTTAGGTCAACTTAAATATTTTCTAGGGAATGAAGTAGCCCAAACAACGACAGGTGTTGCCACATCCCAAAGAAAATATGCCCTCAACATTTTAGAAGAAACCAGGATGCTTGATTATAAACCCATCAACACTCCCATGGATCCACACACCAAGCTTATGCCAAATAGGGGGAGTCTTTCCAGAACCCAAGATGATATTGTAGACTAGTTGGAAAGATGAATTATCTCACCATGATTAGACTTAACATATCCTTTGCATTCAGCGTTGTGAGTCAATTTCTCAATCCATACAAAAGTCATTGGGATGTTGTGCTTCGAATTTTGATATACATAAAAGGATCTCCCAAAACAGTTAGTTTATGAGAACATAACACACTGATATTGTAGCATATACATATTTGAGTTGGGTTGGTTCTAGAGTGATCATCTATCCACCTTAGGATATTGTGTTCTAATTAGTGGTAATCTTATTTCTTGAAGGAGCAAGCAACAACAAACTAGTATAGAGGCAAAATACCATGCCATGTTTGTTATTACGTCAGCTGATTTGGCTAAGCAACTTCTTAGTGAACTTCAATTTTGCAAAATTAAGTCCATGAAACTTATGTAGCATCTAATCTAGTCTCACATGAATGGACTAAACAAATTCAAATTAACTGTCACTTTATACAGCAAATGATAGTTTCCAACGAAGTCATCACCTCTTTTGTCGATTCTAATAATAAACTACCAAATACTTTTACCAAGTCCATAAGAAGGCCAAGGATATCATACATTTTTTCCAAGTTGGATGCATATGATCTATATGCTCGAGCTTGATAGCAAGAGTGTTGAAATTTGATTTTGATTTATCCTGATTTCCATCTAATTTGTCATTACTATTATTTCATATTTCTAATTTTATTATTCTTGCTAAGTTATCATTTTATTGTATTTAATGTTTGATTGTATAATCCTACAATTAAGGGATCCTATCAATATTGTAATTTATTTATGATAATTATAAATAAAGGGTTGAGGAGTCATTCAAATCATTTTAAGTTTGATATTCAAGTATTTCCCTTTTTAGTTCATGTTTTTAACTGGATTTCCCAATTTTAGGACTCTAATCCTCCTACCATGTATTTCCTTTCCCTCAATAAATTCTTATGTCATCCCTGAGAGAATAAAATAGAGTATAAACTAACCTGGGAGATTAAGAACCTCAATGCCCAAAGGCCAACTATATCAGCTTTTGCTTCTTCCAGAGCTGAGTAAAACTCTTGTAATTCCTGTATCAAAAGAAGTGATATTGCAAATAAAATTATATGCAAAATATAGAATGGTGCAGTAAGGTATATAGTAATTTTCTAAGCTTAAGACATTTCTCATTACTTGATTGATAGTATCCAAGGCATTGTTATAAAATCCATACTGGTGATCAACTCGGTCAAGGCACTACTAGATTAGTGTTCACTAGCTAAAAATCCAAAACACCTAAGTTCAATCCCTATTAGGCACAAAACTCCTTACATAATTACATTTTTTTAAATTCTTAGCCATACCATGCGACCGTGGGATGCATGATGGACATTGCAATGACTCGCATGCATGTTGGACAAAATGTGCATTATAACAAGTAGTGTGACCTAGGCAAGTCATGTTAACCACCGAGTCACCGAGTTTCAACAAACTCAAGTCAAACGATTCACACAGGTGCAAAGACATATCCAATCCAATAGACAGCTCATATTGGTCCTTGAGTCCAAGCCGAGCCTGATTGATCCAAGTTATTACTAAATGCATAGGAGTTGCAATGACAAATAATATATTTTGAAGAAAAAGAAAGGAAAAAAGATGAAAAAGAAAGAAGTTAATTTGAAAATTCTCCATTAAGAGAAAATGTACTAAGGGGTATAACTTTACATAGCTAAGTTGTATGACTCATTGCTAAGTGAGAGACTCTTAAGATATAGAATAAAGGTCTTATAATGTGGATTTGGGTCTAACTCAATCTTAAAAAACTAACTTGTAAGGTGAAAAAATTCTTCATGAATGGGTACATTGTTAGAGTTGGAATATTCTGAGCTATAAGAAATCCATTCATTCCATAAGTTGCAATATGTATTTGTAGGTTTGGCAATGCATTGGTTCTAATTTTGGAACCAAAAGGAATGTGACTTGATGCATTTGATGGAAGCAAAGAAAGGGGATTGGTTCAAAGGGTAGTAGTTTTGAGGGTGATGGTGATCCATTGCAATTCTTGAAATTAGAAAGTAGAAGTAGAGAAGGTTAAACAATCAAGAACCACAACATAAGTGATGGAGTAGAAAACAAGAATGATGAAGCAAAATTAGCAAGAGATACAAAGACTGGAAAAGTTACAATAGACTAGAGGAATTTGATCCATTGATAAAGGGAGAGAAACACAAGGAAAACAAAGTGACGAATGTGAGATGTGAAGATTGTTTTACAGATATCAGATAACCCAATAGTAGAGTCAATCAAGAAGCAAGTAAAATGTGGAGATGCAACCAAGGCTCATTGTTTTCAATATCCAAATTTCCAAAAAAAAAAAAAAAGATTGTTCCAATGAAACTAAAATCATCGTTGGACCTAAATTCGATCATGAAGATGGCTGAAGCATCAATGGCATCAAAATCTTGGGATTCAAATTTCTTTGGGTAAGCCTTTATCATTTAACATTTTTGCAATGATAACATGACAATGGAGCCAATGCAAAAGGGATGTACAAAGGCAATCAAGGAGGTTCAAGTTATACAGAGTCCCCCCTTGTCCCCACTACCACCAAAACCACTAGACCTGAGTTTGCAAGTAGTGGCTAGTGGGTTCAATATTGAAACCCCATGGATGGACAACAAAGAGGCACAGTCCTATTAGAGTAAATGATTTGACTATGTTGAATGAGAAAGAGGAAGGGAAAGATTTGGAATTCTACAAAGTGGGTCCAACTTATTACTTAATTAGCCAAGCCCAAACCTATGGAAAAATGACTACAAGGTTGGAATACATTCTTATGAAAGTAAGTTCAAATCTAACTCAACTTTACAAAACCGACTTGTCAAATGAGGGTTGCCCCTCAATTATATACTCTTTGTTGGCCTTATCTCTAGTCAATATGAAACTTGGATTTTTTCCAATACACTCTCTCATGACCAACACTTTTGGGCTTGGTGCTTTCATATATGATAAACAATCCTTTTTTATGATCTAGGATAGAAGGAACTTGAGTTTTTCTCAATACACCCCCTCATGTCCAACACTATTGCACTAGTTGAGTGTATAAATGGTAGGTGACCCTTTTTTAGCAGATCTAAGATAGTTCTAATATCATCTTAAGAAAATGAGTTAAAATGCATTGGGGTCCAACCCACATTTTAAGGTGGTAATAGAGTCTATATCTTAGTAGCTATTGATTGTTTTGAGTCTATCATGTCACCCACTATTGACCACTTGCAAATATCTAGTCTTGCAAACTTCACGCTCAAGATGTCAGTCCTCAACATGAGGTGTTGGAGATTCCAAATCGACTAGTGATAAGACCATTATAATGCATATAAGTGAAGAGTAATTTTCACCTTATAAGCTAATTTGTAGGACTAAGTTAAGCTCAAACCCACATACTAAGATACATAACAGGTCATTTGCATGCTCAATCAAATGGGTGCAATAGTCTACCAACTTTCATAGACAACTTTTATCATATCAAATGGGACTTTTGTTATTAGTTGTTTGGGGTGTTGTTTTGCTATGGTGCAAACAAAACATCAAAGGGGTGGTTGGAGCACGACAGGATGCTAGAGGATCAATAGATGGGATTAACAATGGACGATGGACGATGGACGATGTGTCTATTTGTGGTAGGTGAGTAATAAAGGTTGAGCAAAGACAATTATTAGTATTGGAACAACGTGCGGAACATCTAGATGACCATTTGCATTAATGGAATAAGAGAAGAAAGGGGTGGTCCCTAAAAATTAACATCAACAAAAACATGATATTGTTTAAGTTGTGGAAAAAAAAAATAATAGCCCTTTTGAAGGTGAGAGTAACTTGACAAATTTAGCAAAAAGTTCACTTTTACTTGGAGCGAAATCATGAACAAAACATGTAAAACCAAAGACACCCAAAGGGACAATGTATAAAGGGTGTTGAGGGTACAAGATGAAGTAAAGAACCTAATTATCAAGGACGAACGAAGACATACAGCTAATTAAATAACATGTGCATCACCCCAAAAACAAAGAGGCACATTATAATGAAGGAAAAGGGTATAAGTTGTTTCAACTAAGTGATGATTGTTCCATTCGATTGTGTGAGCGCATGACCTTATGAAGAATCCCCTACAAAGTTAAAAATTTCTAAAACTAGGAAGACATATCTTCCCGAAAATTAGGCAAAATTTTAACTAAAACACAAAATTGGTTGTGGATCTCATTAGAAACCTTAAAAGATAGAGAAAACATCAAAACAATTTTTCATTACAAATACCCAAGTACATTGGGAAAAATCATTAAAAAAAGTGGCAAAATAAAAAAAACTTAAGGTTGAACAAACTCAACTAAGACATTAAAGTGCGCTAAAGCAAAAGATGACATAGCATATTTATTAACACAAAAAAAAAAAAATCAAAGTAGTCAAGGGTGCAAGTTTGCTAATTGAAATTAGATTAAAAGCACAACAAAGAACAAATAAGAAAAAAATTAAGGAAAGAATGGGAAGCAAATCTATTTGCCTGATGCCACAAACTAGGATTTGAGAACCATTTGAGAGAATAACAAAGGATGGAGTCCAAAAAGGACAAAGATAGAAAAGTTTAGTTACTAGTCATGTAAACAGAGGCACCAGAGTCTAGAACCTAGGGTCTAAGATAAGAATATTAAGAATCAAAGGCTACAAAATTGGGTTAGGTAGTAACAGGTTATGTAGGCGAGAGGGTTGCTCAAAGAAAAAGAAGACCATTATACTCGGCAACAAAAATAGTAACATTCGTAGTTGGAGCAGGGGAGGCAACTTGTGCCATATTGATAGCTTTCAACTTTTTTTCAACCTTGGTGCTACATTCGACTTCAACGTGGCCATAGCAATTGCAATACTTGCAACAAGGATGGGGTTAACCATCACAAGCCCCATTAAGCCCACCATGATTAATATAAGGGTGGGACACGAGAGTAAAGGAATCACCAATAAGGGTGGAGGGCCCAAAAGCATGCAGAGTGGAGATGCATAACAACTATTCACTAAACATGTTAAAGGTAGGAACAGTGGAACCTTGACAAAATCTTATTGAGACGAAATCAAGGTCAAATGAAAGACTAGCAAGAACAAGCTCCATAATGAACTAACTACATTGTTTGTAAAATGTCTCTACATCACTAGTAAAAGGCATGAGGTTGAGAGTAGCTTAATCGACAATTAAATGATCGAGCTTACCAAGATAGGTTTGCATATTCATGTTTCCAAATTTTCTATTCATCAAAGCAATAATGAACTATAGAGACAATGGACATCATTGGAATAGACTTTCTTAGCCTTCGTCCAAACCTTGTAACAAGTGAGATAAGCCTAGTATTGTGGCTATAGGTTGGGAGCAATGGAAAACCATAGGATGTTACATAAGGAATCATCAATTGGCTACCAACAAGCTTAAACCGAGGTAGGAATGTCCTTGGCTTGGGCACTCAAGTGGTTAGCACAACCTTGACCTTGGAACCACAACTAAATACCAACGACCCAAGTATTGTAATTGGTTGTCCTAGTTGTAACACTAAATGTTTACAATTGTTTAGTAATTTTTATAAAAATAAAATGAGTGTATGTTTTCTTGTTTAGTGTTCTAAAACTCTAAGGATTTAGGAATTTTTGTGTGTTCAGTTGTTTTGTTGCTTTGAGTTGAGGTCAAAGTTGACCATACTTAAGGGAAGGTATATTAAGGTTTTCTTAAGACTTGAACTTCATAAGTTCAGTTTCTTAACAAATCTAGAGAGACTTTAGAAAGAGGAGCTCCAAGCCAGAAAGATTGCTTTCGTTCTATTGACCTTGTAGAGTGTGTGGATCCTTCACCAGAGTTAGATTGAGTAGCAGTGTGGTGATTTGAAGCTTCAGGAGCTAAGAATCAATAGAAGTTGTCTTACGGGAGTTCCACGTTCTTAGGCTTTCTTCCTTCTTCTACCTCCTTTCTTCGTGATTTGAGATAAGGGAAGTTTGTTATTTATAATTGTTGTGTTGTTTTCTTCTTAGACTCATCATTTTATGGCTTTATCTTTGAATTGAGATATGTAATGAATTTAGAGTTCTGAGTTTTGGGTGTCTAAGCTTTTCGTGGAAGACATTGATGATCTTAGGGTCTTCTATAGATGCATGTTGGTTTCTAGTTAAAGTTCAACTGGTAGTGATGCATATGTTTAGTATTATAAGTTGCATGTTGTTGTATTGTTGGAATTTGTAGGTTTGGGAGCCAAATAACGTTCTGAAGTACAAAAATCCCCATCGCATCAACCGCAGTTTCATGGTACCAAGTGTGATGCAAGTTAGGGGTTGTTTGCCTTACTGGTGTCAAGCACGGGATAGGCAACATCAGACATGAGTTAGTTAGAAGCTCTTTGACTTGGTGTGGTCAGGCACAGGATTAGTGATGTCAAGCGTGATCAAGTCAATGACTCTCTGCCTAGACGCTAGATGCGAGTTTTGTGACGTCAAATGTAGGTCAAATAGAGGCTTTCTACTTACATAACATTGGGTGTGGGTTTTGCAATGTCGGACATGGTGTACATGGAGACCCCCTATCTCATTCACATCCAGCGCAAGTGGAGTGACGTTGGGCGTGATTATGTTGAATGCAGATTTTAACTTAATTGATTTGAAATGTTGAATCATGATGATAATTGCTTCATATGATGATGTTCTGAGTTGAGTAAGTTGAAAGTTGATTAGTAGTAGAGTTGTATATTGTGTTGTGAGTGCTTGAAGCATTTAGTTGTACTGTGTTATTGACTTAGGACTAAAGGAGAGATGTTTTAAAAGATGAATATCTCACTGTAAGGATATGTGTTGTGATGCTATAAGAGAACAATTGTTGAAAAATCTTTCTTGAATATAGTTGTCTGTTGTAGTGGAGTATTAAGTCCCCTCTAAATCCTTAGTTGATACCATATAAAGGCAAGGTCAAGCCATATTGATTTAAGAATTGACAATCGAGTATGGTACAAGGGCAGGGGCCAAAATCCCTAACTAAATATCGGAAAGGGCATAGTATATGTTGGTTAGTCGACAAGCTAATTCCATATATGTTTAGCTATGCATGCTAAGGTCATAATAAGCTTACACCAAGTTGTTTTATTCCTAACAGGAATCATGAACTTTCTTAGTTTAAGTAGCAAAATCCGAGAAATCGTGTTATGTGTAGATTGATATCCAAATTTGTTATTGATCTAGAAAGCCCAAAAAAATTCGCATTATTAACTTTGTTTAGTAGGATCAAGTCACTTAGACAACTCACCTCATTGTAAGAGATATCTTAGTTGAAATGCGTGATGACACATTATGATATTGTGTTGTTATGTTATAATGTTGTTCAAGTTGATATGTTAACTTGTGTTAGTGTTGTGTTGTTCTTTTACAGTGTTGATGTGCTGAAGAGTTGTAAGTTTATAAGTTGTTTTGTATTCCAAAGTTGGGCCTTGGGCTAGTGTTGATTTGAAGTTGTTTATATAGTTAGCTTATTGCTTTTATATTGTATTGTACTTTTTTATCTCGAGCTTACCCTTGCATTCTCCTTCTTGTTGAACTATGATGATTATATTTATATGAAAGCAAGGCAGGATTAAGATGGAGGACGAGCCAGATTTTGAGGGTCATACTAGAGATAGTGGTTTCTGTTTGGGTTGTTTTGAGACAGTTATGTAGTAGTTGCATGATCAGCAACTTAGAATTTATGTTTTTATTGGGCTTTACATTAACGATTTCAGTTAATGAGTTTTATACATGTTAGATATAATTTTATCTTATAGTCTTTTATCTTATGGTTATTTTATCTTATGGGCCTAGGCCCACTACTTTGTATTTAAACACATCTTTTGCTTTGCAATACACAAGGAATATGTTCTCTTCATTCACCATCACTCTCAACATGGTATCTAGAGCCTAATCTTTGACCTCCCGGTGGACCCACTGTTCATCGATGCCCGGAGAACGTGTTTCATTCCGTTTTCCAGCTACCCACATCTCTTTTACAGTTAGTGTGGTGAGTCAATTTCTCAATTCTCCATGTGCAGGACATTGGAATGCAGTCATCCGCATTCTGAAGTATATCAAAGGTGCTCCAGGAAAAGGTTTATTATATGGCTACAACAATCATACCCAGGTTGTGGGATACTCAGATGCAGATTGGGCAGGCTCTCCCTCTGACAGGAGATCCACCTCAGGCTATTGTGTCTTTATTGGCAATAACTTGATTTCGTGGAAAAGTAAGAAGCAGAATGTAGTGGCAAGATCTAGTGCAGAAGCAGAATACCGTGCCATGGCCTCTGCTACGTGTGAGCTTATTTGGCTCAAACAGTTGCTTAAAGAGCTGAGATTTGGCGAAGTTTCACAGATGACTCTCATATGTGATAACCAAGCTGCCCTGCATATTGCCTCAAATCCAGTATTTCACGAGAGGACCAAACACATTGAAATAGATTGTCACTTCATTCGTGAGAAGATTTTATCTGGGGACATTACTACTCAGTTTGTTAACTCTACTGATCAGTTGGCAGATGTCTTCACCAAATCATTACGGGGTCCTAGGATTGATTATATTTGTAACAAGCTTGGTGCATATGATCTATATACACCAGCTTGAGGGGGAGTGTTAGATATAATTTTATCTTATAGTCTTTTATCTTATGGTTATTTTATCTTATGGGCCTAGGCCCACTACTTTGTATTTAAACACATTTTTTGCTTTGCAATACACAAGGAATATGTTCTCTTCATTCACCATCACTCTCAACAATACATATATATTGCTACATGTACATCCAAGTACGGTTTGCATGATAATCCTAGATAATTAGATTTATGTATTCCACTGCTTAAATGTTGAGCTATAAAGTGTAGAAACTTATTAGGTCGTTACACTAGTCAAATTTTCACATGAAATCAACAAAATTGTGGTAAAAGTCACTACAGATCCAGTAGCAAAAGTGGAACCTAGAGTGGCCATGGAGCAAGCAACAAGAACAAGTGAGAAGGGACACCTAAATGTGGAAGGCAAAGAAAGGGCACCAACAAGTGGGTACAAGTGAAACGTGCAAAAAACTCACATTCACATCAAGCATGAACGGTACACACCAGAGTGTGGCGGCGCATGCAGCAACAAACCCAGCTGACCAGAGTGTGACACCAGCAAAAAAAGGTGCAATGGAGCAGGCAAATAGCAGCATAGTGGTCGTGGGTTCATGCATAGCCACAACTCCGTAGAAAAAAGGACCACAAAAGAAAAAGAAAAGAGGGAAAGAGAGAAAGGGGGGAGAAGAAGAACCTTTAGAGTATTGATACCATATTAGGTTTGTTGAATAAGGATCTAATCAAGGAAACAAATAACAATTGTAATCCCTAATTTTTTCTATACAACATTGACATATTTCCCCATCTACATAAACATAAAATCATATCTTTAACAACAATATTAATAACAAATATATGGAGTGACATTATGAGCCTATTTGGATAAACTTCTCCATAAACACTTTTAAAAAGAAAAAGAATTAGAGAAAATGAAATAAGTTTCTCTAGAAGTTAAAATTAATTTATGCATAAATTAAAAATAAGCTTTTGGAGAAGCTAATATGAGAGAACTTCTACAAATTAGTTCATACATAAACTAATTTTAGCTTATGGAGAAGCTTATTTCATCTTTCCTCCTTATTTTTTTTCTTATAAAAATTCTTGTAAAAAAAATTATTCACAAACCCTATGTAGTGTTTTCTCACGCTTGCCTTATGGTTCTACATTACTAAGTTTAGTCCTCCAAGAAATAAGCCTAAAATGCTATACTTATTGCATAATATCCATGGCAGATCTCATTAAGTAAATTTTTAATAATAATATGAATTAATTTAGTGGACCATACTAACACCATTACTATGTCACTAAGTTTAGCAATCAAAGAAATAGCCAGTGAGGTATATTCTGTAACTGACCAATCTGACCGTAGACTTTTGGCCATTTGGAAGTGTTATTGTATGTGGTCCAATTCCATGGCAACATTCATGGCAAATTGTATGAGTGAAGAACGATTCAAAATCTACATGTTCTTGTTGCTCCTTTGCAACACAGGCAGCAGCTATAGGAATAAGAATATGCTTGAACCTGTAATGAATTGGCAGGTTACCCCAACATAAAAATTGAGAAAATAAGTAACGGAAGAGACCCATTCACAATTGTAACTTGAAAATTGAACAAACTAGAAATTTGAGGGTCTAAAACCTTACTTAGCCTCTGAAACATTTTTAAGCATGACCATTGAGGATCCCCGGTCTTGTACAATACGTTCATCATTTGGTAGATTGAAAGCAAGAGTTTGTGGTCCCTTGACATCCTGAAATAATTCATCAATGTAAAATTTCCAGTTTGATAGTTTTAAGCAGAAATTACTGCATTACAGTTAAGAACACCTTGTGAATTTTATTAGAAAGGACTTAGGGAAAAAGGTGTCCAGCATAAGAACAGCTTAAGCCAGAAATTACGGACTGTATTGTTTGTCCATTTAAATCATGTTCTGCGCCACTATTTTGGATAACAAGTTAGTTCAAAATTGAACAGTAACGGGACAATTACTGTCGGAACTGAGAACTCAAGCATCTTTCCTTACTTTCAAATTTCAATACACACACACACACACATATATATATATATGTGTGTGTGTGTGTATACACATATATATGCACACACACACATATATATATACATAATATATGTATATGTATAGAGAGAGAGAGAGAGAGAAACACGCTATTCAAATATTCCTAACACTCACCCCTGCATTATATAGAAGCTGGATAACACGGATAGGTGCTGCATTCACATCTTTTGATTTGTATGCACTGTCCATTGGGAGATTTTGCTCCAGAAGCTTATGATGTAGAATTATTTTAGTGGCATAAACCCAGTTGTCATATCTTGACATAATACTATGCTTCCTTTTTTAAGTGACAAAGTCTGAGAAACTGTTATCGTGTTGTGGATTTTTATCCAAATTTGTTGTTTACCTAACAAGCCCAAAAAGGTTCTACTCATGGCTTCAACCATGGGGTAAAAAAGGGGATGGCAGAGATCCACATCTATAGCCATGGTTCATGGCCGCAACCATGGAAAAGAGGGGATGGTAGAGATCCACTATTGTAGCCGTGGGAACAAAATTGAGTTGGCAGAAATCCAGCGCTAGAGTGTTGATTTGAGCGCTGAAGCGGTAAGAGTAGATGACCGAATTTGGTCTTGCGGTCTTCATAAAATTTGTAGCCTTGGATATTAGCTTTCGAATGGCGCTGGAATCACCCAAAAAGGAGGTATAGAACTCCAGATATAGATGTTTTAGTGAACATGGTCAAGCTATCAACATTGGTTATAGATGTTGCGGTTTTTAGAATTTTTAACAAGGTAGATGATGGAATTAAGACTTGGTGTACTAATTAGAGTTGTATAAAATCTTCTTATCTTTCATATGAGATAAGGATGAGTATGATAGGAGTAGTATAACTCCTGATACGCTATTTTATGTGAAGGTTGCCATTTCACAAGGAGTGATTTGGTTAAGTTGAAAGTTGTTTTAGGTGCTTAGGTTGATTTAGGTTGTTTATGTCTGTAAGTTGGCATGATAAATTAGTTGTAAATATGTAGTATGAGTTGTATTATGTGATGAAAATGTTGTATGATGATATAAAATGATAAAATATTGATTAATGATGTTGTTAATGATGCTTTTATGATGAAGATGGGATGTAATCGAGATGTATAAGTTCTATTATGTGTTGTGTATGTTGTAAATGGTTAAAGATGATTGCATAACATGGGTTGATGTGTTTTGCGTGGAAAGATGATGTTGTGTAGTATGATGAGGATACTTAGTAAGTGAGATGTGAGTTGCATGTTGTAGTTGAGTTGTGAGGTTGTTTACAAGTTGTGTGATGACTATTTATATGTTATGAAATATGATGAGATGATCTAGTTGAGAGTTGTGAAGTGCATGATGATAATGTTGTGAGTTGTGAGGAGCATGAGGTGAAATGTGTAGATGTGTTGAGATTTATACATAAGTTATTAGTAGACTGTGTTGCTAAGTTGTTAGATGAGAGTTGTGTGTTGTTATAAAGTTGTATGTTGTACTATGTGTTGAAAAGATATTACTTTATGATGATTGAGTTGTAAATTGTGAGTTGAACTATTAAGTTTTTGAGTTGATTGTGTTGTTTAAAGTTGAAATGAGTTAATAATTGAGCTGGTCAGATGATAACGATGTTGTTAAAGTTATGAGTTGACTGTGTTGTTCAAGTTGAAAGTTGATTGAGATGATGAGTTGATAACTGTGTTGTTGTGCTGTGATGACGAGTTGTTGATGACTAAGACTAAGGGAGATGTTTTCGAAGTTACTCATCCCATTGTGTGGATTGAGAGTGTCGTGGTGCTCTAAGAGCCCAATTTGTTGAAAACCCTCCTTGGGAAGTTGTCCCTTGGAGTGGTTGATGTGTTGTTCTCCTCTAGGACTTAGTTGGTCCCGTGTGTGGGCAAGGTTAAGGCACACGTCTATGAAGCGACTACGGTATAGGGGTCAGGTCGAGCTATACTGATTACAAGCGGCCAATTCAAGTAAAGTACGAAGTCCGGAACTTAGTTCCTAACCGAGTATCGGATGGTTGTAATATTTGGAGGATAGTTAGTAGGCTAATCCCATATGTGGCTTAGTTGACCTAGCTAATGTCGTGGTAGGCATAAACCCAGTTGTCATATCTTGACATAATACTATGCTTCCTTTTTTAAGTGACAAAGTCTGAGAAACTGTTATCGTGTTGTGGATTTTTATCCAAATTTGTTGTTTACCTAACAAGCCCAAAAAGGTTCTATGTTGTCAGTTTGGTAGGATCTAGCCACTTAAGCGAATCTGCAGTCGTCAAAAATGCCTCATCTTCATCAAGGCAGGACCTGCCAACAATGAATAGATTACAATTATACAACATATCAGAATATAAACGGGTATTTTAATATAAGTAGTTTCTGCTGTTCTACTCTGTATTTTATATTAAAACAATTTGCAGTATGGATGTTCATATACTGTCAAGAACACTATCTGGCATTTGGTCCTAGGGATTTCAAGTGTCAAAACAGATCTTGAATTGTAAAAGGATTGCTGACTCGCTTAGATTAAGAAAACAGATTCCGGTGAGAAACTCAATACTAAAGGCATGAGCCAAATTCTATGATTTTTGGTCTTAAGTCCAGGCTGGCATAAGAAATCACCGAAGTCTGCCTTTTTATCTATTATAATTATATACACCATTCAGTTGGTAGAATGAATTGTCAAGAAAATACTTACCACGGGCTCTTGTTAATTTGATAATAGGACCATTTCAACCTATTCAACTCCGATGTATTAGCATGCTCCTTCAACCAATCTCTAAGAATTGGATTACTGTACCATGACTGATAGGGAAATAAATAGAAAAACTTTAGCAATGCACATTATCTTCTGAATATATCCATCTTCCTGGTTCTACTCCACAAATCAGTTAAAACAAATTAAAATGTATTTTGGAGCAAGAGATAAAATACCCATCAAATTTCATGATATGATGAACAAAACCTAGGTATCAAGCATGTTACATGACACATAATTACAAGCATATAAAAATCACTTACATGGATAAAAGTTTGAAAGTCAAACTTACCATTAAATTTTATATACTTCATACGAACATGCATATTAAAATAACATACAATAAATACAGAAAAGATACATAAACAATAAACAAATGCTTACAAACACAGCTATAAATGGATTGTAACAACCTGCAGATGAAAAATTTCATCCATAATAGTTGCAGCCCTGACAACAAAACCAAGAGCCTCTTTGTCTGAATCTGTAAGCCCTGTCAACTACCAAAATGAACATTAAACTAGTTATTAGGTTAAAGAAGTACCATAAATTTTAGGATAAATATATTACTAGTTATCCAAGGAATGAAAAACTCACATCCAATAATGATATCATAACCTTCAACATTCATATATGACACTTCTAATAAATTTATATGGAACAAAAAATAATCCAAATCCTTCACGGTTAATCACAGTTTTAAAAGCACCATAGCATTAATTGCTAGATAATAAATCTCCTTGTAATTATATGTAGCTAGTATTTTAACAGAATAAATTTTTATTTTATATAACTAAAATTTATAATAATTAAATAGTTTTCAACATATAATTTATATTATTATTGAAATTTGTAATAAACATAGACTTTTAATCATATAAATCAATTTTATACATATGATAAATAATTTATATTGTGATACAAGGTTATTTTTTTGATAATTTTCTTTTTAAAAAAGATTGAAATTTAAATAAGAAATAAAAGTAAAAAAGATAGACTAAACAGATAAGAGGTTAAGAAAAATATCCAAAAACATTGAAGAAAAATAGCTATAAACACTCTCATTGAAAAAGAATAATCCCAAAAAATGTTCTCGATCAAGATAGTTATTATAATCCTAATTTATACAGAGAGACAATGTTAATATGTTTTATTCTTCCTTTTGCCTATAAATCAATAAAATATTCGATAATTGATACTATACTCATTTCCTGCTAATGCTTTTATATGGGGCTTTATGTGGACAATGTGATGCAGAATTCCGCTTACCATTCAGGATCAAGGTCTTGTTGGCAAGTAAAAACAGAATACAACTAAAATTATATAGTTTGTGAATAGTGGCATTGTAAGGATATTTGATTCAGCTCAAAGGTTAAGTGCCAGGTTCAAAATAGAGTTTTAACCCATATAAATGCACAAATTCAGTTGCCAGATCCTGTTTAACTCAGAAACAAAATCGCTTTTGAGCAAGCTCAGATAAACTCAAGCAAAATCAGGCTAAATCCACAGTCTTGCAATTTTGTATGAAAGTAGACAAGTTTAGAAGGGCAAAAAAGATTCCCAAAATGACACTGTAAGGGGAATTTCAGTCTCTTTTTTTTTTCTCTCAAAACAGAGAATTAGGTCATTCTCTTCCGTTCTAGCAGACATTCTTGTGGATTCTGTGCTCGTGGGTTCCCGTCGTGGCTGCTCAGTCAGTATTGCACATAGGGTTATCTTCAAGGGGTGTTAGGTGCTTGTCTTTTTCTCACAACCAGACCATTATCTCCCGCATACTGAAGGTCTGTTGTCCACTCTGATCTTTATCCAACCTTCTATGCTCTGTTTCAATTTGCACTCCTTGTTCTTGAGTGGGAATTTTTTCCTGTTCCATTTCTCTCCAAACACCTAATTAACAGCAGTTGAGCAACAACATTTTGTTGTCTCTCTTTTCCCTCTGCAGTATAAGACCAACCATGATGATCTTGGACTTGGAGATGATATTATTAGAGGATTAGACATGGAGATTTTAAGACATCAATCGTCTTTTATTTTATTTAAACACTCATTTTAAGAACTTATATTTTGTATGAATTTATGCATAATTTGGTGTAGTTTGATCTTTTTAAGTAGTAATGCACTACCAAACTTTGCTACTTTATTGTTGTAGGCATGATTATGGAGTTGAAATATAGAATTATTATGCTATTTCCAGGTATTTTAATAGTTTTTATATTCAATAAACTCTTATGAGTTACAAGTCGAGTTTAGAGAGTTTTCACAAGTTTACATTTACATAAACTCTCGAGTTTGACAACCTTGTCATACATTAATGGTATTCCAAATTGACAAAATGGAGTAGGGGAGACAAATAGAATTAAAAGCTAAACAGTAGACAGATACAGTTCAATAAAATAAGAACCAAAAACAAATGAAAATAAAAATTACAACAACCTCTGCACTAAGGGAAATTGGAGCATAACGACTGATTTGCTTCTGTAGAGTCAAACTGCGTGCAACAGTATTTTCCTTGTACCTTCAACAAATATGTAAATGTAAGGAATACAAAAATAAGGATATAATATGCGATGACTGTTTTAAACACCATGCGGTTATCCATCAAAAAATATAGTCATAAAGTATAAGAAGAGTTAAATAATGTTGAGTTTTAAGATGGCCATGTGATTCAAGGGGATCTGCACTTGAAACATATACAGTTTGAGTTTGGATTGGAAAACAGAAACAATAACACGCTTATCCCTACATACTGGTGGCAATATTTTGCTTGGTATGAGATGGTTGGTGTGTTGGATGAATATTCCATTTTCCCCCTCACTTTGGAGAAAATTGTCTGGGTATATTTAAAAGGATTTAAGAGGTGACAAAGTCAGAATTTTGTGTAGATGTATATAATACTTTAAACAGCCACTTTTCACCCTGCCAAGCCAACATCTAAGCATGTGCCTCACATTACCAAGTCACCTTCTAAGCTATAAAGTACAGACACTCCTATTGCAGGAAGTATCTAAGTGCCAGACACGCTTCCAACACCAACATGTGTTAGACACTCCTCACTAAAACCTTCGGATGGATGGACATTTCAAGAACACATGTGGTATTAAAAAAGTTCAATTATTTTGAATAAAAAATGTTAGAAGTTAGAAATATTGAAAACAGGATACCTTAGTATACTATAAGTATTGGGCCACTAAGCCATTTGGGTAGTTTTATATATATACTTTGGGTAGTTTTATATATATACATCCTTGCAACCTATTCAGGTTATGAAATGAAATCCAATTCTCTCAACTTTAACAATAACATTCAGAAAAGTAAACTTAAATATACTCTAAAATATAAAAAAGGTTAAATTCATCATTTGGTTCCTATACAAGGGAATTTCAACTATTATACAGCTTTGATTAGCTCCTATTTCTTTTTATTTCCTTGTTTTCTTGTGTTATGTTTCAGAGGATATCTCACCCTCTCCCTTGTCATCACTTCTTTTTTATTGAATGAAAATCATTTTAAAAAGGGAGAAAATAGAAAGACATGACTATCTGAACTGAGAGTGAAATTCTATGTTGGTACAGGAAAACAAACCAGAATAATTGTGCATACTGTATTAAGATCGGTGAAAACAACTGATCTCTTGGGTTAGTTTTCTGTTTCTTAATCAGGTGGGTTAGATTTCTGTTATGTTGTAATCAGTTGAGTTAACATTCAGTTAGGTTTGTTTGTTGTTGTAATAACATCTCTATATATACACAGGGTGTAACAGAAATATGGAAGGAATAACAAAGTATCATCTTCTTAAATCTGTTTGCAATTCTTTCTTCCTCTCTACTCTAACAATAATGATAAATTTTTAACAGTTATTGCAAAATGAAAGAAGTTTTACTACACTAATAAGAATTTTTTATTATTCAAAACTTGGTAATAGTATACTTTTTTCAAGTATATCAAAGAGTTGACCATAACTTCAAATAATAATATACCTCTTTTCGATTATATCAAAGAGTTGACCATATTCTCCATTAACATCATAAGGGACATAATCTGAATCTTCGTTGGCCAGTAACCTTTTATATTCTTCATAAGAGATATATTTAACAGCAGAGACCTCTGTTTCCTGCCAATGTAAAAAGATCCCCTCACAAAAGATCTGGAAAACCTATAATACAAATCATGCATGCAACTAGAAAAGACATAAAGGATGGGCATAAAAGGAATAGAATTGGATTAGCACATGAAATTACAAGCATTTGTCTACAATCACTCTTGAACAGAGACTATAAACTATCAACCCATAATAGTCTTACAGATTACCACCCTGAGAATTCTTCTTGTGATGTCAAAATCGTCTGGGCTCCAACAAATAATGTTTGACATTCATGTTATTGATGTTATAAATAATCTTTTTGGACTAGAATTTCATGGAGTTTACTTCTTTTATGTCAAACATTCCTGCCACCAGTTATTCTAAAGTAATTCCCATGTGCCAAAGAATTATTTAAAAGGAAATACTCAAAATAAAAGAACTATATTCAACTATTTACTGACTACCCTAATTACGCTCACTAAGACAGTATTACGAAACATAAATTGATGTAGATCAATAATAGAGACCAAGCGAAAATGATCAGAAAACTCAAGTTCTCAATATTTAAATTCAATAATAAGGCTCAAATAACTAATTACAAAACAAAAACATTAAATTAAAATTAAAATCATATAATAATATACAATGATCATAAATGTTATACCTTTATACTGAATTCTAGCACGTCTAGAAAAAGCTAAATTTTTCAAATAATGAAAAGTCATAAAGGCTAGCTCCATAATCGAATAAACATGGTGTATTATGTTTCTCAATGAACTGAGATCCAATGAGTCCAATTTGAAAACATCTTACACATCCTCACCTGAAGTGCAAAAGCTTCCAGCGGTATTCGATCAAGAGTTGTTACCAGATACACATCATTATATTCGTTGTTTATGTATTTTCCATCATTTATGACACTGCATTCCATATTTAAAGATAACATCAGCTAGTCCACAGATAAAAAAGAGAGAATTTCATTAGTTGAAGATTAAAAAAAATAAATAAATAAATAAATAATCCTATGAGCACATAATAAAATAAAATAAAAATAAAGGTACACAAATCAACTTAACAGTCTCCTTCATAAGTGAAAGAGACCCCTCTATAGTCTAAATAAACCCTTAACATAGCTTGAAAGGAAAGTTAGAGTGTTTACTTTGTTTTTCGATTTTTGGTTTTCAGTTCATAAGTTTTCATTATAATCATAAAAATGTGACCTTGCTTACATTCAATTTTCAAAGTTGCGTGAGGTAAATGATAAAAGAAAAGGAAATTTTCGAAATAGAAAACAGTAAAAAAGCAATGTGGTAGCATGTATGTAATTATAAGTAAAAAATAATTAACACATATTAAATATTAAAATAAAAAAATAAAAAAAATAAAAAATAAAAAACACGCCCTTAATATTTTAACAAAATACAGTAATACAAACACCATACACTACATACCACTCTTGGAGGAAAACAAATATCAATTCGAATGCATCCTTGCGAAGGGTCACACCCAACTCTTCTTCAAGCTCCCTCCTGAAAAATGAATCGCTTAACAACACTACATACTTGAATCTTGATTAGTAATGCAAGCTCTATCTGCTAAAAATCCTACTTTGGTATTTAAGAATAAAGGGAGTAATTACACTGACCTCCCATAAGTTTAACACTCATTCCAAACACCCTAAACACTTGATGTCTAGAAAATTACACTAATAATCCTTCTTTGCCCCAATACCCTTCTTCCAATACCTTATAAACTGTCCTACACTATTTCCCCTCGTAAATAGCAAATTAAAGGAGATATGTGTAATTTCTGATGATGGGTATCAGATCAGATGTAATCAACACTTGAAGTCCTGCGCATTTGAATCAACTTATTTTAACAAAATATTTTCTTTTTTCTTACTTCTAGAAAAAGCTTTTCAAATAAAAAAATATATCTCTTTCTAAAAAAAAAAAAAATTAAGCCAAACAAGTCAAATTGGAGCAAAACATCAATTTGGTCCCTAAAATTAGCACCAACGATCGATTTGGTCCCTAAGAATGGCACTACCAATACCAGTCAATCTAATCTATATTACTAAGTAAACAAATCTATTAGCAATCCACAGTAAATTTGGTTTGTACCATCTCTCAGTTTGGTCCTATCTCCTAACACTAGTGCAGGTCAGCGACCACGACCACACTTGTCAAAAGTCATTAACTAAATTTGCTTCTTTCATAATCTGCGTGTTTAAACTGACACCTGAGATCCCTGTCTGTATGTCAAAACACGTAAAACACAGAGTGCAATAAGAGTTGCTTCAATTGCGGATCCAAACACTAAATATCAAGAACCAAATTAGCACTTAAACCGACTTGTTTCATCACAACAAATGCCAAATTGACTAACGATGACAATATTTAGATTATCAAAGAAAATGTTTGCTGTTCGTATCTGTTTTCCTTTTTCTGAAATTTATGCAGCAAAAAGTGAAAATAAAACAACAATAAACAATTTCTACTTTCACTATTTCTTTTTTTCTCTTTTTTCATGGAGTGCATATAATGTCCCGAAACTCCCAACCAAAAACTAATCTGCTTTAGTTTTTGCTGGCCACGCATTCACTATATTTCTTATCAAAAACACAAAACAAACCGAAAACAGAAAACAGAAAAAGCCTTCTCCAACCGAACACAAAACGCAAACGCTAATTTCGCAGAGTAGAATACCTAGCAGAGGTAAGCGATGAGTCGCCGGCGGAGATGTGGCCGGCGCTGGAGATATCCCAAAGATCAGGCCACGAGTCCTTGCACGATGCGCGCCGTTGGAGGAGAAACTCCTGCGTCCTCTCCGCGAAAATCCACACGTGAACGGCGCGGTGGTAATCGCCGTCGCGATGCACGTCTCCCCTGAACGAACGCACGAACGAACGAACGCAACCGTTACGCAGACGACTTTGAGGAACTGAGGCGAATAGCGATTGAGAGTTTGCGATTACCTGGGCTTGGAAACGCCGGTTTTGTGACCGGTTTTGGTGAGCACGTCGAGGTGCTCTTCTACTTGCTGGTGCTGCATCTCAAAGTGTTGTTGAAGCTGCGTCTAGTGTGTGTGTGTGAGTGAGTGAGTCAACGGCAACTTCCACTCGCAGTTTTATAGTGTGCAAGTGTAATCGAATTTTAAATAGGGAAATACCTTGCGTAGAGGATGAGAGGGAACTATGTTCATCGCCCAATTTTTTTATTATTTTTTTTTCCATCTACATCTATAATAAATTTATATTTCTATCCTAATTATAAATCTAATCTATAATAATAAATGATAAATAAAATAAAATAAATCTTTCTATACTAATAATAAAGTATAAATTTATTGTAATATTTTTCTTACAAAGTTTATCTTAAATGATTGTTTAAGAAAAAGTCACAATTTATTTGATCCACACACGTGTTATAAGAAGAATCAAAGGTAATGTTAGTGTGGATTGGCTCACAAATTATGATGCATCTCATGATGACAGTCTCAGAATTTGGACTGGTGTTCAATTGAGTTGGAGCTTCTTCTTTTAGTTGATAGCATGGATGTCATTCGCCTTTGGTCTTAATTTCCTCTTTTTATCATGTATAAAAAATAAATAAAAAAAAGGCTAAATGACTATATACTTACACTCAAATTATCATAAACAATGAGGATTCCACGTTGATTGATTGAGCATGTGTTATTATTGTAAACTCTCTTAATATTAAGTTTAATTTATCATGCATAAAAATAACTAGAAAAATAAAATTTATCCATTCACAAATTATTATAAGAAAAAATATTATGTTTTCTTCTTTTCTATTGATACGTGATGTTAATTTTTATTGATAGAGAATTACAATAAAACAATTGGTTTAAGTTTATTAAAAATGATTATCGAAAAATATATTTCTCCAATTTAAATTAATAAAAAATGTAATCAATATTTCTCTTCTTATTTTCTAATTAAGGTGAAATGAAATTAGTTTAAAACAGGTCAGACCAACAATGACCTAAGCCTAAAGCAAAATTTAAGAGAATTTTTATATTTGAAAAGTTGAAATAAAAGAGTTATTTGTTGGGCTTTCTTTTATCATATATGTGACATTTTTTGCTTTACAAAACTTAATAGCAAATAACTTTTACATGGTGGGCCTAAAGTGTGAGTTTTAGTAACTTTACAATTGGGTTGGTCTTGGTTTAAAAAGATACTTTTGGTCTTATTTTATATATTATATAGTATTTTGTTTTTTCTTCAAAATATAATCAAGCAAGGTTAAATTTACTAAATGAACTTTTTAATTGAAAATTAAAAAAATGTTTCAAAATGTTATTTCATTTGTGTCATTTTGCCTATCATCTTCGTACTCGAGGCTTGAGGAAGTTGATATAGCTAACATGGACAAGGAAGTTTCTACAAATGAGATCAAGTAGGTAGTCTTTTCTATGGTTAACTATAAACCCAATGGTTTGCTAGCTTTCTTTTGTTAATCATTATGGGAGATTATGGGAAGTGATTTGCATGATATCTTGTCACATCTATTTTTAATATAATCTTCATCGAGTTGAAGTACTTAATGGCCACTCTCATTATTTTACTTCCAAAGCTTAACAATGTTATTAAGCTAGGAAATTTTAGGTCCATTAGCTTATATAATGTGTCTTATAAAGTGATCACAAAGATTGTGGCCCAAAGAACAAGGCTAGTGATGGGAAACATGATTGGGTCATGCCAATGTTGTTTCATTCACAATCACCATAGCAACGATAACATTTCCATGGCATAGGAGGTTATTGAAAGGCTCTTCCACCTTATTAAGTTAGTAGTCAATAATAATGTGTGGAAACCAACTTCTTTGGTTAGAGGAAGACCCATAATTTCTCACCTTGCTTTCGTGAATGATGTTATTCTCTTTGTTGAGTTTAATAGCGACCAAATGGATGTCATTAATCTAATTATGAAACTGTTTTGTGAGGGTTCAGGGAAGAAGGTTAATATTGTCAAAACAGGGATTTTTTCTCTCAAATAATGTCAATGAGCAGCTGAAGGGTGATATTACTTATCATTTTGGCATCCAAATATTGACAAATTGGGTAAGTACTTAGGTGTCCCCATTTTTCATAAGAAAGCAATTAAACTAGATTTTAACTTCTTATTGGAAACGGTGTCTTAGACTGAGCAATTGGAAGAGAAACATGTTATCAATTGTGGGATTGTGTAACACTTACCAAGTTGGATTTATAAGCCATTCCTAGCTATATCATGCAAATTTTGGGTTTAGGTGTAACAACCCAATTTTTTATATTTGTTTATTTAATTTAAGATTTTATATTTGAAAATAAAAAAGGAATCTCAAAATTATGATGTGTATCATCGGAATAAAAAATTTGAATTCTACTTAATCGTTATTTTTAATAATTATTTCAAGTCAGAGCTCGAAAAATTATAAAATTAATGATTTTACTCTTACTTATCTATATTTAGGGATTGATGAGGAAAAAAATTTAGGAAATTATAAAATGATCTTTTGAGTTAATAATCATGTTATATATATTAAAATATAATTTTGTGAATTTTTTCTATTTTTTCAAAAATTATGGAGAAAATGACCAAAATACCTTTACTCGTCTGATAAGTGTAACGACTCACCCTAAGCCGTCACATCCAGAACCAATCAAAATAAAATAATATATAATAAAGAAAATAGAGCAAGAGTCAGCTACGCTAGAATGTAAATATATAATAATATATAAAAAAAAATTCCAAAATATGTAACATATTTTTATAGTAGAGTCATCATTCTCAGTAATGATTATACAGTAATCCAAAAAAAAATTATAATTCCAATATCATGAAAGTAACAAAATAAGACACCCTAGGTGCTGGTCAAGCTCTAAGTCTAGCCACTTCTTAAAGCAGTTACCCAAAAAGACTCATTACTATCTGCCCTCATCCCTCCTTTTCTATTCTCTCTTCTATTCCCTCCTCACCAAAATTCTTCCTCTTTTTTCTTTTTACACTTCTTTTATATTTCAAAATTCATGATAAATTAACCATCTCCAACCCCTTTAAGGCTCCACTTCATAAATTTTCCCATCACTTTCCATTTTTTTCCACTTACTTAAGGTAAGGGAGACTAAGAATTGATCTTTTTGATATGTATTATCTTTCTCATGTTGATATATTGTTCTTTTATTTTACTAATATAAAATGAGAAATTTGGATTATATTGTGAATCTGTTGAACTTTGGGATTTCTGAAAATCTATTGGAATGATATTTTGCTAAATTTATTTTTGAAAAATGTTCTAAATACAGGGGAGACTCTGCAAAAAAATTTATAGAATTTATGAAACTCATTTGCTATTTTTTATAGAATTAAGAACTCCTAACCAGAAAATCTGCCAACCCAATACTTCAATGAACATCTTTTAATCAAAAATTCATAAATCACATTTTACTCATCCACATAATATGAAACCGGTTGGGTTAGAAACTAGACTCGAAGGGCTTCAATTTAGCCTTTGAAATTGCTCAAAACGATTTTGTAAAGATGAAGATATTTGCTTCTCAAAATGATGTTTATTTCTGGAGATCCAAGATGAACTATCTAGGTTCTATGAATTTTCTGCACCAACTTTGGACAATTTTCAAAGTAAAGTTTGTATATTCTAAAACTAGACTTCATAAGCTTTCCACACATATAAATTTTATAATTTTAATGTTTGATTTACTATTTTAAAATAATTTTGTTTCTGGAAGGTGAACCTGAAATTTTTAGATATTGGGAAGGTAGGAACACTTTGAATTATTCAATATTATAAATTTTACCTTTTTGAAAACTTTATTAAATGTGCTAAACATTAGAAATTTTAAATTATATTAAAGGGTTTTAAACTACCAAATATGGTTGGTTTGATAAAATACATTTCTGAAATTTTTTCTAGTAGCATATGGAATTGGATAAATTCTTATAAATTTTGTGATTTTATTTTAAATACAAAATTTACCAATTTAGAAATTAATTTCACATATTTTTAATAATGTAGATATAGGAGAACTTCAATTAATTATCTCCTATTTTAAATATTTTAAAAAATATATATATTTGGTTGTCTCATAATAAACTACAAAGTTATTTTAATTACTTAAAGTATGATATTTTAAGTAAGTTATAAAGTAATATGTTATTATGTTAATTGAATTACATGCACTCCTAATTACTATTATAATAAGTTGTTTAAGAATTATAGGTTAATGTTATTTTTCTTCAATAGTGTATCATGTGAGATGACTCTATAAATTATTGTGTATTGGTGCTCAGGATGACTGAGACTGATAAAACTCTATATAATGAGTTTTTACAGTAATATTATATTAAAGATAATGATGCAAGGGACATGTGATGACATGACACCCTTCATTGGAAGTTACAACTTGGCAAAGCTGAGGGATGAAAGGCAGAGGGTCTCATACTAGTGGGAATACCTTGGGTGTAAGGTACTAGGAGGTTGAGAAAACTAAGGAAGGTAGCACCTTGTATCGGAGTCTCCACCTAACCAACTTAGTAACCCTAACGACTGTTCCAACATTCAAGATCGGTATGAGAGTACGTCCCAAATTTTGGATAAGGATAAGAATATCCCATTGATATATATTAAGATTCATTTGAGGGATTGAATCGTACCATTTATGGGTAGGGACATGTGTACTCCCAGTCACTTCCAAAATGTGGAAGTATGGATCCAAACTATATTAGTGTTATGTAAGTATAACTACATTGAAATCTAGTTTCCCCTATAAGAGTCTAGTAGGTAAGTATTCTTACCTTTACAAGAGTTGAGATTAATATTTCTCACTCCTTATATTTGTTTTCTATTTTTGTGTATGTGGGACTTTATGAAGATGGAATATCCTTTGGTCACGATTTCATTAAGCATTGACTAGGCAATAGGAAGAGCCCAAAGTATGGAGGTTGACCCGGATTATCATCATAGTTTCCTATAGACCTCCATGGTATCACTAGTATCTAAGTTACATAGTATTACTTTAGCTGATCTTTTCCCGATACTGTCTAACCTTGCTCATCCACCTCTTGTACCTCTCGATCCTATTCCAACCACTCTAGTTGTTGTGGTACCTCCAGCGCTTGAGCTAGATCCC